ACCCTTGCCTACCTCTGAGATCTCACTCCTACCACTTTTCCCCAGCTCGCTGGACTGCAACCATGCTGACCTTCACATAGCCCCAGGATCATGTCAAGATCATTCCCATCTAAGGGCTTTTGCCTTTGCAATTCCCTCTACCTAGAATTCTTGTCCCCCCAAATTTCCTATAGCTGACTCTTTCTTATCCTTCAAGTGTCAGCTCAAAAGTCACTTCCTCAAAGAGGCCTTTCCTGACCCCCTTACTCCAAGTCACCATCTAGCATACTTCCCTGATTTACTGTACTTCGTAGCACATATCTGTATCTGAAATTACATCATTTGTTAACTTGATTGTTGTTTGTTTCTCCTACTATAACATACATTTCAAGAGAACAGGGACTCTATCTGATTTACTCACCACCACATCCCTGATGTATGTGCTCAAGGACTGGTTGATGTATGTACATCATGTGTACGTATGTATGTATGCACTGTCAGTAATTTCACTGAGGGTAGGTGTCATGTCTTTATCATCATCTTTTTGCTTTGTATACAGTAGGAACTTAAAAAATATCTGTGGAAGGAGTAGATTAATCCATATCTTGGTTTCTTCAAAATATAACTAAGATGGGCAATATTTTTTTTATCTGATTAAAAAATATTCTTCCTCCCCCAGTCACGTACAACAAAACATCCTATCAAAAAAAAATCAGTGTTTCCCAGGATTTTTGTGCTGTTATGACTATTTTCATTGAGGTGAAAAGGCAGAGGCAGTTTTACAAAGCATTCTTTTGTTTGACATCCACTTAATGCTTTTCATTCTTCTGAAAAAGACATACTGGAAACATTCCATTCTCCCAATATGGACATTCTGAAAGCATTCAAACTTCACTGAAAATTTTTTTTTAAAAGCCACGGAATCAACTATTCCTTGGATTTTTTTTTTTCTTTTATGAGTCAAGGAACATTGTTTACAGCTTCCCCTGAGGCTTCTGTTAATGCTTGTTAGAATCTGGGATATTGCAATTGGAGTTGCTCTGTTCTTTTATAACTGTGGGCTGCAGATTAATTTTCCTCAATTCACATATTTTCAATGACATAGAATTTTATAAATTGCTTCCAACAGAATAGGAAGGAAAGTCAGAAGTATTTTCTAGAAGCTACTCTTCCCCCCATTCTTTTAAACTCTCATCTGAAATTTTAAAGTAAATATTATTTTAATGTTCTAATTCTTTTTTAGTTACTAAGATAACTTCTTCTTAAGAAATTAAACTTTTTCTCAGTTTCAAGCATCATATATACTTGATCTGCTCTCAACAAAATGAACTTTTGCTGTAGAAAGTGAAATATAGTATTTGTCTCTCCACTAGCAATGCTTATTAGCAATCTTCCCCGGTCTTCATCATCTCTCTCTCTTCCTCTTTCTTGGCCTTTATTACCCAACTCATCCATTCAAGGTAAATGATCAGATCTGTTCTAAGTCTTGAAAAAGGAAGATGTTGATCTCTCTTATCAGAGATGTTTCAACCGACTTTTTTTTATCCAGGAACTCCATTGACTATGAATAGTTTGCCATGTGGCATGTACGTGGAATACACAGATTAACATATGAGTTAATTAAACAAACATTACTGATAAAATAATAAAAATATGAGCTCTTTATCCATAGCATAAAAATCCCACCCTACATAAAAGAACAGTATTTCTATCAAAATACCTATTTTCCTATCATTTTTGTATCTAAAATTGAATGGAAATCATCATTAAAGATATTCAGAAATCAAAATGATCCACAATACAATGCTGGTACCGGACATAAAAATAACCTTCAAAGCAAAATGAAATATAATGTTGCAGTAGGATAACTACAACGGCATTCTTGGCTATTATTGGAAAACTTAAGGGGGCAGGGGTGCATCCTTAAAGATAAATACAAATTATTAAAAGTAGCTTTAATAAATTCTTTATTTGGCAATCAGTGTTTTGAAAATGGAGTAGTAACTGATAATCACATCAATTCTTTTGTATCAATACTAATGGTTTATATAGAAACAGGTATAAAGGAAAGTTGCTCAGAAAGATGGAACTGTTCATTGTTCTGGCAGACATGTAAAAACAATGCTGACTCAAAAGCAGACAAATGGACAGCTGCAGATGCTGTACCCAATGGAAATACTAAGCAGGCGTAGCACAAATCAATAATTAACAAAGCAGATGAGGATGAATAATTGCATAGGTGGGAAAGGTAAAAGGAGCTGATAACAGTACTAGTTTTGTAAGAAATTAGATAAACTCTTTGTTTTCACGAATTTGTTAGCAAGAGTACTTCAATGCCTAATAGTACATGAAGAATATCTGTTAAAAATGCTTTGATTAAATTGATATGCACCTTTATATAGTACTTATCACTAAGGATATTTAGAAATAAAAATGATCCACAAGAAAATATTGGTAGGGTGAACATAAAAATGATTTTAAAAGTAAAGGATGAAATAATATTCTAGGTGGGCTACTACAGGGGCATCAAACTGTTTATTTTTAGATTCTTAAGTTTAATGAAATGTTGAAGAGGGAGGTATACCTTTAGTGCATATCATTTTCTAACTTGTATTATGCATGTGTGTGTGTGTATGCATGTGAGTCTACATATATATAAAACCTTCCCCATGCACGAGTCAGTAAGTTTCTTGAGGATAAGTATCGTGTCTTTTATATACTCTAAAAGCACTACGCCCAGTGCCTTGTATATAAATAAATACCTGTGGAATGAATAAAATAATACATCTTGGTTTCTTCAAAATATAATGAAAATGGACCATCTGATTAAGTATGTTTTAGTAAAAGCATTCAGAGTAAATTCTTTACACAGATGCTGAACCTATGGCTTGGAGACATCTTTTAGGAGTCTATTTTTTTGAGAAATACAGTTCTTAAACTGCAGTGACTTTAAAAACTAGAACTTTGCAAGGGTAATAGGTGCATTTACAGCAAACTTGGAAAGCAGGTTTTAGAGTTTTAGGTAGATCAGGAAGCTAAGGAAGCTGGGTATGTAAGGGTCATTTACAGCCTTTTTCCTGAGGACATATGTTGCAAGAATAACTGCTCTTATGAATGCAAAGGAGTCATTGCTCATTACTGTATCAAGTGCTTATCTTCCCCTGAAGATTTGTTCTTTATCTACATGCCCATTTTATATCATTCTATTTTCTTTGAGTTGTCATTGAAAATACATACTTTCTATTGTCTTATTCATTAATTTTACAAATAATTGATTGAGTCCCTACTGTGTGCCAGGCACTATTCTAGATGCTGGGAATATAGCAGTGAACAAACAAAAATCACTGCCCTTGTGGAAATTTTATTCTAGGGATAGAGACAGACCATAATCAAGATAAATCAGTAAAATATATAATAAATTAGATAATTTTAAGTGCTAAGGGAAAAAAATAATAAAGCAGAGAAAGGGGATAGAAAATCAGAGAAAGGAGTGGAATTTTAAATTGAGTGGCCAGGAAAGGCATCACTGAGAAATGACGTTTGGATTAAGTCCTGAAGGAAGTGAAGGAGTGAGTCCTGTGGACATCCAGGGAAAGAGCATTCCAGGTGGGGGAAATCCCAAATTGCAAAGGCCATGAGGTGAAAGGTGAAACAGTGCATGGCATGGTTGAGGGATATCAAGGAGGCCAGTGTGTCTGGAGGAGACCAAGAGGAAGAGTAGTGTGAGATGAGGTCAGTGAGGTGACAGGAGGCTCCATCCTAAAGAACCTCATAGCTAAGAAAGGAAGCCCTTGAAGTGTGTTTCACAGAAGAGTGACATTATCGGATTTTTTAACAGGATCATGCAGGCCACTGTGTTTTGAGAATAAAGTGAAGAGGGCAAGGGTGGAAATACAGAGATCATTTAGGAGGCTTTAGCTATAATCCAGACTAAAGATGGTGGTGGCTTGAACTGGAATAGTGGCAGTGGTGATAGTAAGAAGTGGCTGGATTCTGGATGTATTTTGAAAATAATATTCACAGGATTTTCTGACAGAATAGGATGTGAAGTTATTCACTATTTGTGATAGTTAAATTTCCACTGTTCCCTCCTAACTGATGAAAAAGATACAAACTCGCACATGTTCTCTGTTGTTTTCAGAGTATGATATTCCTGACATAACCAACTTTTCTTTTGTTCCTGAGTTTGAAAACACATTCCAACTATTTCTGTCTCTTATCTCAACCTTGAGGAAGGGTAAAGAAAAAATGTGGCTCTGAGAATTGGCAGTGCTAACACTATCTTATGAGCTCCTCCTAGACTGTAAGCTCCGTGAGACATTTCATTTTCCTTGTTACATCCTCAAGGCCTGTCTCAGAATCTTGCACGCATGAGGCTCTCAAGAAATGTTTGTAGGATGGCATAGTCTCTACATTTCCCATGGAATAATAAACCGAAAAACAACATTCAGCCCCTATCAATGGCACAATCATAAACTAAAATTTGTGTTTTAGTACAGTATTAAGGATACTATGCTGGGGTACTCAACTGGTAAATGTATTTGAGCTTCCTCAAATAATGAGGGTGCTCAGTATTACCAGCTCAACCTAAAGTTTTAGCTTTTTCGCACCTTGTAAATTAACTAGAGGGTGCGGGAGACTGGCTTTGCAATTCGCAGCTGGGGCTAAGTGTGATGTCACACCACCCCTCTCTCATGAAGCTACCGCAGTGTTAAGCCCTCTTAAACAGCGCACAAGTGTCTTTGGGGATAATCAGTCAAAATGCGTATAACCCACGACCCGAGACGCGAACCTGTCCCGGGGCCCAGCCCACAAGCCCCCACGGTGCGGGCCTGCGCTCTGCACGACGGGAGTTGTAGTTCCCTCCCCACCTCTTCCCTCGCTTCCGGCGAGCCTGGCCCCCGACGCGGGAGCGCCCCAAGCGGCGCGCAGGTTCTGTGAAGCGCGGCGCACGCGAACGGCGAGAAGCGTTTCCTAGCAACGGGGGAGCGGCAACGTCACAGCGGCGGGTTCTGAGCCGCCCAGCGGAGGGCTGCCAGTGTGCCTTCCAGCACCTGCCGGCCGCAGGGAGGGGTCTTCTCAGCGCTGAGTCCGCACGTCTTCGTCCGTCCTTACCGGCCTTACCTGCTCCAGGTCGGGGAAAGCAACCTCCCGCCGCGACCCCGCCTCTGAGGCCCGGGCCAGAGGCTAGAGGCGGCCCGGCCGGCACCCGCCCGGCCCTCACCCCCCGCGCCCGCGGAGCCCGCCGCCCGGCGGGACGATGCTGGAGTCCATTCGCGTGATGGGTGAGCGCCGGGAAGGGCTGGCCCCAGGGCTGGCGGGTCGGCCAGTGTCCGCCCGCCCCGCTCGCGGCCGGTGTGGGGCGGGTCGGGATGCCGACCGCCCGGAGGCCGAGGTGACGGTAGGAGGTGGGCTCCGCGGGCGCTCACCCCGGCGGCCCGGAGCAGTGCGGGGCGCGCTGCAGGTGCTCGGGGAAAAGGTGCGGAGGGAAGAGAGAGCGCGGCCCCTTTTCCTTTTGTCGCTTATTATCAGTAAGCGCGTGCTGTGGAATCTGGTGAAGTAAATTACAATAGGTGACTGGTCCTACAAATGTACGATCTAAATATTGTTAGATTCTATTTGAAAGCATCTTAGGTATGTGATTAGGCATTGTAGTGTACTAGGATCTGATTTTCTAGAATGTTCAGAAAAATCAGAGCTAAGCAAAAATATGTCAGTATTTATACTGTGTTTATTTGTATAAACGCTTTTATTAAGTCAGTGAGAACCTTTTGAGGTGATGATATTAATAGATCACTTTATAGTATGTATTATACCAGGCATAAGAAATGGCTGTTTTAGACCCCAGGTCAGAAAGTTTACTTGCCTTGTATCATTTTTTAAAAATAACTATAGATATTAACCATTTAAAAATTATCTTACATAAATTAGAATAATTTCCTAGGCCATTTTCCTGGCATTTCGTTCTGTATAACATTTCTGCAAGACAGGGTTCGTGGTAGTATCCAGTACATATCCTGACTGAGAACAACGAAGAACAACGGAGGAACAGAGAAATGCCTAATCCTCAAACTAGCGTCAAAATAAGGCCGGAATTTTTTTTTTTTTTTTTCCCCAAAGCCTCAGTAGATAGTTGTATGTCATAGTTGCACATCCTTCTAGTTGCTGTATGTGGGACTCTGCCTCAGCATGGCTGGAGAAGTGGTGCGTGGATGGGCACCGGGGATGCAGACCTGGGCCACCAGCAGCGGAGCGCGCTCACCCAACCGCTAAGCCACGGGGCCGGCCCAAGGCCCGAATTTTTAACTTTAAGGCATTGCAGTACCTAATAGACCATTTTTCTGTGAATTTTTTCATTGTAAAACTAAATTCCTTTCCAATGAAAATATTTATGGTCTTAATTTTATACTATTTTAACTTCCGTGTTATAAAATGTGGAGCTGATTTTGTGCAATCGTGACATTGCTGTGATTTGACAGGAAGCATAGACAGTTACAGAATCTAAGAGGCCCTTAAATTGGCATTAGATTTTTAAAAAATGTGATTTGATATAGATGCTATTCTTTCATCTTAAAATGCAGTGAAAATATTGACAGTTACTTAAAAATACCATACTTTGTCTTGGAGCAGGATCTCGAAACGTGGGCACCATTAACATTGAACTAATGGATAATTCTTTGGGGAGTTGTCTTGCTTTGTAGAATGTTTAGCAACATTCCTGGCCTCTACTCACCAGATGCCAGTAGCAAACTATACCCCCATCGCCCTCCATTTAAGAACTGAGTTTTGACAACCGAAAATGTCTCCAGACATTGTCATATGTCCCCTGTAGGGTGCAAAATTACCCCCCGCCTCCCCCCATTTGAGAACCACTGCCGTGGAGAAAAATGTAGTTAGATTCTGTTAAAGTGAAGGTTATTAGATAACGATTTAGAAATAACATCAGTTAAAATAATTTCCCCAAAGCATAACAATCATTGTAGAGAGATTTTGATTATGATAATATTAGTATTAGAAAGTGGATATTCAGAACAACTAGTCAGCAATACAAAGGGGGTCCCCTGTTTTTCAATATACAGAGTTAGAAATTTGAGGAGAGAGAACTTTATAAAATAGTAGACGCACTCCTCTTGCCTCAACTCCTTTCCTGTAATTTAGTGACAATACACTTATCAGTCCAACTCTGCACGTTGCATACCTTGAGGTAGATAATTTGGCAGTGACTTTCTATAATCAATAAAAATTCAAATAACTATTTGGGACAATTCAAGCCTCAAATTTACAGCCCCTTTAAAAATAACTGACCAGGTCGTTTTTCAAAATAGTTTCTCCGTTTCTTTTGATAGTGCTTCACTAATTAAAACGATAGTTCTAGAACCCTGTGCCCAGCATTTCACTGACATATCAGAAAGCCCAGTTTGGACAGCCAGAAACTTTATGAAGAGAGTTTAGCTGAAAACATGCCCCCCTTTTCCCTTGCTATCGCCTCACTATTTATTAATAGCTAAGAAGCCCATGTGCTTCTGGTTAGCTGAAGAACTTGATTGTTCCTGGTGACAATACTGATGGGACTGTGTTCATTTTTTCTTTCAGCTTTAAAATAACTATAAATGTAGAGCAAAGTGGTTGTTTTTTATTTTAGGACTGAAGCAATTACTTAAGTGTTTCTGAAATCACTTCCTATATAACATCTTTCCCACTTTTGACTTATTAGTTATGATTTAATATAATCTAAATATAACATCCTGGTGGAACTGCTGATTGGAGGAGTAAAGTAAGAAAGGTGTGTATGCTATATATGCTGTTTGAAATGGATTCAAATCAGAAAAGATTTCTTTGCCTTCTCATAGCTTTTTTTTTTTTTTTTTGGTGAAGAAGATTGGCCCTGGGCTAACATCCGTGCCCATCTTCCTCTACCTTATATGTGGGACTCCTGCCACAACATGGCTTGATAAGCAGTGTGTACGTCCATGCCTGGGATCCGAACCCACGAACCCTGGGCCACTGAAGCGGAGTGCATGAACTTAACCACTACGCCACTAAGCCGGTCCCCTTCTCATAGCTTTTTAAAGAAGATAGTTTATTATACTAAAGCCACTAAAATGTTGATTCTAGAATGTAGAATTAACTATTTAATGTTAAATTTACCTTGGAAATCAAAATTTAATGATTCTAAATACTTGCCCATTTACATCATTCCATGGAGTATTTCTGTAGGAGCAGAATATAATATTGAATATAATAATGAGGCTGATAGTCAACACATGCTGCTTACTACAGGCCAGCACTGTTCTCAGCACTTCACATACGTTAACTTTTTTGATCCTCACACCAAAACTATGAGGTATATAGTGTTATTATCCCATTTTACAGATGAGGAAACTACAGCACAAAAAGTTAAGTAACTTGGTCAAGGTCACAGTTACTAATAAACAGCCAAGATTCAAATCAGAGGAGTTCCATTCAAAAGCCCATGTTCTCAACCACTAGGAAAGTCAGAACACTGTTACAATGACTATATGCTGAGTTAAGCCACAAAATTCAACAAGAAGATCTCATTTAACATCAATAGTGCATCATCTGATAGTTTACTCAAAGTGTTGTTTTTTAAGTTTTTGTCACAGCCAAGTCTGTAAATTATTTTTGCCTAGAAAGATCATATTTTACTTGACTATAAAATTGTTGTCTTCAAAATAAGAAAGAAGACATCTAGCTCATTCAGAGAGTGACAAAACGCTGTCAGAAGCCATATAACATAAGGTTATGTTAATGTACGATTTCCTATTGCCCATATTTTATATGTGATATAAGTGTTTAATGCGACATCTAGAAATGAAGCTCTGTTGTCACCAAAATGAATGTGTAAAAATACTGGAGACAAAAGTCTTCTTAAGGCCAGTGTTTGGGCATATGGGATGAATACACTTAGGCACAAAGGTCCTGTTTGTCCTACAGCAGTAGGCACCTGCCATTAAAACTTGTTTTCAACATCATTCATTGGTTCTTTTATGAAAAATCATACCATCTGGTGACTGATTTTTCCCTTACCTTCAGGTGTTCAAATCCTGTATCTTCTCTCTCCTCTAAGATATTCTCTTCCCTTGGCTACCTTTCTGGCCATCCTTTCATAAGCAGGGCAGTGAGTGAGCAAAAACAAACACAGATATATTCCATAATGGGGCTTATAATTTCAGTGTTGGGGAAGGCCATTATACAAACAAATGTAAAATTGCAACCATGACAAGTGCTTCAAAGAACCTTCCAGAGAAAAGGTTTCCTGAACAAGTGATATTTGAACTGAAGGATAAGAAGGAATTAATCTAACCAAGAGAGAAAGGAAGGACTCTCCAAACATATAGGGAACAGCGTGTGAAGAGGTGTTGTGTCTGGAGAGAGAACGGTGAGTGTGAGGGAATGACAAAATGAAAGGAAGCTAGAGTGGTCTGATTAAGGGGGAACGTTATGCTAGGTGAGACCAGAGATGCAGAGTACTTGACCATGAGTGACTTTGTATGCCGTGGTTAGGAGTTTTGTCTCCATCCTCAGTGGAAAGCCATGGGGAAGTTTGTTTTCTAGCATGTTCGCTGATTTAGATGATGTTTAATGCTGTTTCTTTTACCACAACCGTCATTTTCTGGCATTAGAGAATACCCTGCATGTTTCTAACTGTGAAAAAAAAAAAATAGCACACAATAGTTTCTGACCAAAACCCAGCAGTGTCATGTTATTAGAATCATTGTTACTAATAACACTGAAGTGCTCCTAACTGGGACTGTGACATTTTTAGAAATCATGAAGTACAATCAAGTTTCTCAATTCCTGAATGACATTAGCAGTGCCTTTTCATCTCTTTTTTTTTTTTCAGTTACAGTTGAGAAACTGTATTGGGTAATGTTGAATTTAGAGATATTATAATTAATAGATTATCTGTTACAATGCAGACAAATTGGGCAATAAATGTTTTAAAGATACTGATTTTTATATACCATTTAAAAAATTAGAATGTAGCTTACATTCAATGAAGTGCATAAGTCTTAAATGTGCAGCCTGATGAATTTGTACATGTATAATCACTGCCCAGAACAAGATATAGAACATTTCTAGCACTCAATACCGTGGTACCTCATCCCAGCTTATAACCCCTCCCTCAAAGGTAATCACTATTCTGGCTTCTAATACCGTAAGTTAGTTTTGCCTGGTTTGGGACTACATACAAATAGAATGATACAGTATGTACTCTTTTGATCTAGTTTTGTTTGCTCAATGTTGTCTGTAAGATTCATTTATATTGTGGCTTGTAACCTCAGTTTGTTCTTTTTCATTGCAATAGAGTATTCTGTTGTTTGAACATACCACAATTTATTCACCCTTTCCAATGATAGATGCATCATTTGAGTTTTAAGTGATGATGAACTACTTGATAAAATTAAAGTATTTATCTTGTTCAGGGATTATTTTGTTGTGTTTGCCTTTTCTTCTGTTTGTAATCAAGCAACCTATCGTTTTGTGGTGTAAAATTATGCCAGGTTCTCAGGTTTCATAAGTATTAGTGAACCATATGAATTTGCCATTTTGTGAGTCAAAATTGGTTGCATGGTATTTTCCACCAGGTTTTGTTTCTGGTGATCTAATCTTCCTTTCAGCTAGGGAGCTCATAATCACTGTGAAACCTCACCTATTCACAGTTGTTTAGTGAGGAGTGTTCCCCTTTCTCTCCCATTCTTATAGTTGGGGCACGTGAGGTACTGATGGGTTTGGTGATTAGGCTCATATTACAGAGACGACATTGAAAGAGCTGGGAATGGAAGCCAGGAATCCTGGTATCCTTTTCTCCTGTTCTAGATACAAATTTAGCTTTCATTGTGTTGGTAATTTCAGTATATTCACCAATAGGTGAATATATTCACCAATAGGTGAATATACTGAGTATCAATTTTAATGTAATATTATTTCCCTTTTTCCCCTCAATATGGGTAATCAAGTTGGGGTGAATAATGTCTTTGATCAACAAATTATTTTTATTTACTCCAAGGTTATAGTGAAGCACATTGCTAATGGCTAAAATGTTACATTATATAATAGCTTTTAATATGAGAAAGTATGATTTTTAATTACTTTATTACTTTCCTGAGGGAAAATGAGTTATACTTACCCCAGAGAAGCCTGCTTATACTTTAAAAAAGTGTTAATTTTTCAGGAAAAGAGAGTTGGGAGAATAGGATGTTTCAAATGCAGTCTTCTTCTTGGCCTTTTATTATGTTCTTATGCATGTTTAAAAGTCATTTTTTCTTTTTTTTTTTTTTTATTTCTTTTATTTTTTTTCCCCCAAAGCCCCAGTAGATAGTTGTATGTCATAGTTGCACAGCCTTCTAGTTGCTGTATGTGGGACGCAGCCTCATCGTGGCCGGAGAAGCGGTGCGTTGGTGCGCGCCCAGGATCTGAACCCAGGCCGCCAGCAGCGGAGCGCACGCACTTAGCTGCTAAGCCACGGGGCCGGCCCAAAAGTCACTTTTTCTTAAACTGTAGTATTTAAAATTACAAAAACAGTATTTTAACTTTTCTAATACTTTTTAATACAACTGAAATAAGATTAGTGTGACTCTGAGAAATTAATTTGTATCCATCTTGTATGAGTTGTTTGAAGGACCACCTGCCCCATTTTTATGAACTTCATGGGATGTTAGCATTTGGCAGGATTGGAGTTTATTAAATAAATACACCATTGGCCCTCTCAAACTTTACTCATCAGCAGATGGAGCTTAAAAAGGACTGATGCTAAGCATCTCAGGTAGATAATTAAGAAGTGAACTGAAATGCTGCACCTCCAGGGTGGGGGAAGGGGTTCTGTCATGCACACACTGTCACTTCTCTCCCATCCTGCACTCCTCCTCGGGTGTTTTGGCAGATGGGTTAGGACTTTTTTTTAGTATCCTGAAGTGTATAGGTTGTTTGGGATGGGTCAAAATCATTAATTTAGAGGTCGCTCATACTTTATGACAAAACAAAAGAATTCTATGAGCTCAGCTCTTTGGTCATAGAGCTACTGAGTCTTAGGTACCAAAGAAAGCATTTTTACATTGAATATTCATCTTTTAAAAAATCAACACAATGTACATGTAATAAACCATCAAAATTAGAAATTCTTCAGAGTAGTTTTATTCATTGATTTTAATTTGATGTAACTTTTCCCCTTTTTCTTATGGCAACACTCAAGTCTGAAACCCCTGAGGAATTGGGACCTACCAGCCTTTGATGAAAGTTCATTTGTTCTGTCTACTTGTGGTCGGTCTTTAACATTTATTGAATGGCTTCTTTGTGCAGTCAACCTTCAACATGACCCTGTGCAGTGTAGCTCCTACCTCTCAACTTGTACATGTAGTAGAGATTTTATTTATCCCCTGCAAGTTCATACTTTTGTGTTATCTTTTAGCCATCAGAATCCAGCTTCACATGTTGGCCTAGAAAATGCTAACTAGAAGGACTTTTAAGTACCTTACATATTTGGATTGTTTATTATCCACCTACATGTTTGGATTGTTTATTATCCACTTTTGACTTGGTACTGTTTCTTTACCCTAAAATCTATGATTTCAGCGCTTTAAAACTTACATTTAGGGCAGAGTTTCTCTACCTTGCCATTATTTTAGGACAAATATTTTTTGTTGTAGGAGGCTGTCCTGTGCATTGAAGGACGTTTAGCATCATCCCTGGCCTCTACCCACAAGATGCCAGTAGCACCCGTCCCTACTTGTGACAACCAGAATGTCTCCAGACATTGCCAAATGTCCTCTGGGGGGCAGAATTGCCCCCAGTTGAGAACCACTGGTTCAGGGTCTTCCCTGTTATATTTCCACTTCTACAGTGATCTCATAGAAATATAGAATGGTCCCAGAACTATTTAAACACCTGTTTATCTAGAATGGTTGGAGAATGGCATGTTTTAAGATCATACCATTCATTCATTCATTCATTTATTCAGGCTACCAGATCCCATGCTAGATATTGGAGAGAAAAAGATGAATAAAACATGGTCCTCATACCTCTCTTAGTCATCAGTTATTCAGATTACTTTGTCTTACTTCGGTGCCATGTCCTGTACAGAGGAAGAAAAGGTGCAGTGCTGTGCATGTACCAGACTTGAATACTGAATGTCTGTTCGTAATTGAATGAATGACCATTCTGTTATCTATTGGTCATAGAGTGAGGATGGACTCTGTAATCAGACACACCTGTGTTCAAATCACAGTTTGCCGTTTATTATTTTCTTGTCATATAACCTTGAGCAAATTACTTAACATCTCTGGGGCTTAAGTGATATATCATGTACAGTTTTTGGTGAAATCCCAAACTCATATAAATGTGTCAACAAATGGTGACTGCTATTTTATTATTGTTATTATGAATTATTACTACTTATTATAAAAAAGATACCTGAATGTCTAATATTGAATGAGTGAATGACAAAAAATTGGAATAAAATAAATTGTCTCTTTCTTGGCAAGGCAGGCAGCTAAGTCAGCTAACATTGAAATTGCTTCCATAGCAGGAGCCAAAGGTTGAGGGCTAGAGGTGTAAGGGTCCGTGAGACTTGGAAAAGAGAACTTGTTGAGAGAATCATATTATGTCACTTTTGCAGACGGGATTTAGAAAAGCTTTATAAGCAGACTGGGTCAGAGGTCAGATTTATAGAGAGGGCTTGGGCTGGAGTCTCATTCAGATAAGCAGGATTTAAGACAAACTCAAACACTTTGTCAGTTTAAAATTGAATCTGAAAGCTCTTAAGGGTCTTCCTGAAATCTCAACATCTGTTTCTCTTCACAATGCTCTCTTCCTTCTCTGAACTCTAGGTTATTGTCTATATCTTTTGTTTTTCACATTTAAACTTACACTACCTTATAGTATTATTGAGATCTTCCTAGGGCTGCCTTGCCTTCAGAGCCAGATTAGAAGCTAGTTGAAGGCAGGAACAATATATTTATACAGATGTTTTTCAGAGCCATGTACCTAATTAGTAGTATTCCATGGATTTGTGGAATGAGAGAATGCGAATCAACACAGTTTTAAAGCAGTTCATGAGCAACAATATATTAAGTTATATTTACCTCTTTAAAGCACTTTGAGATCTAAAGGCAAAGCTGAGTTCTCCTTAATTTGCCATTTGATACACAGATATCTATGTAATAGTAGTTACAATTTTTTTCAGACTTGGCAAGAAAAAAACTTGATTTAAATTTTAACCTGTAGCCTAGAATTAAGACAATCAACCAATTAATATTGAGTGACATTAGTAAAACATGCTTGAACATACACGTATCATTTATTTAATCTTAAAAATGGTTTTTGAGATAGGTGAGGCAGTGTTGTCCTTTTACTGACGGCTACCGTTGAATATAGTGTCAGGTTTCAAGATTGTATTGGTTTTGAAAGTGTCTTGGATTTTACTTTGATATTGGTTATACTATTGAAAACCTTATCCTTTCTATGAGATCCACATTCTTTGGTAGAGTTGAGTATTCATATTCTTTATATGTATTATCTCACATCTATATTAGACTTTGATCATCTAAATGGTTTGAAGCTGAGGATTTTTATAAATAATTTAGCGTATATATACACTCATATAGGAGTGACAGTGTCTAGCATGACCAAAATTTAGTAATATATCCTTTTAATACTTAAAATGTCTTTTCTAAAGATTTTTGCAAAATTATAAAGTTTACAGAACCTTCAAAATACTTTTCATATAATAAGAAATTTGCTTCATCTGGTATTTTGTTGTTTCTTTTGTTTTGATTTTGTTTATTAACAGAAAAGCTTCACTGGCCTGAGCAAGAACTTGCTAAGAAGTCTGTTCTAAATGCAGAAGAGTCATTGATCATTGATAGCAAAAGAAGCATTTCACAGTTATCTCCTGGAATCCTAAAGGACATTTTCACAACTGGAACCAGTAGTTATAATGTCCTACTACAGAGCAAAGAGGAGAGAAAGCATCATTCACAAAAACAATCTTCCTCCACCTACTCCAAAAGATGTAGAAAACCCAACAAATCTCCTAGCTCTTCTCGTAGTAAAGATCTTCGCAAGATGAAAGCCCCAGCGCCTGAGATGAGCAGTGGTACTTGGTACTGCCTAGAACGGCAGCCTGCACTTTTTCTCACTAGTTCAGTGTTGGGTCCTGTGAAGTTTACACATGATATCTCTGTTACAGGGAACAGCATCGTACTGCCACCTAAACTCAAAAACAAGGTCAAGCGATGCCATTTCTCCACTCTTCCAAAGCCAAAGCTGCAGCCTCAGCCTCAGCTGTCTAGAAGTTTTGAAAAAGGAGATGACTTTTCTGGAAAGAAATTTTGTATACTGACTGCTATAAAGCCCACAAACTTGGAGAAAGAAAAACTGAGATTCTTCAAGTCTGACTATACCTACAATCCTCAGTTTGAATATGCTAATCCTTCTCTGCCAAGTGTATTAGCCAAGCACAGCAACGCATCTGACCGATTTCTTAAGCAGGTAAAATGCCACTTCAGTAGTGTGATTTCATTTTTATGTAACTAAGACAGTTATTTGCAATCTTATAAAAAGCAAAAAAGAAGACTTTTTAAAATATTCCAATTATTTATATGGTATAGTTAACTCACATCCAGGACATGTGAATATGTGACATGAAATCTCCAGGGAGTGGTCATAGCTTATATGTAAACTACTTTGCATTAATCAAAATCTGTAAGGAATCTATTATATAGACTGAGGCAGGAGAAAACTGTATTAGGAAAAAAGCTTCAGATTCTGGTTCTAGGCTGTCATTTGGGAGTGACAAACTTGTGGCCTGTTAGCCAGCCTACAGACAAGTGTTGTGTAGCCCACACTGTTTGTGTTTTCTGTTTGATTTGGAATGCCTTAGATGGAGCATGCAATCCCTGGTTCTGCCTATCGTGTTACATTCCCCGCTTGCTTAGGCCACTATAGGCATTTTGGGGACCTAGGCTTGATACTTGCCCATGAACTTTTTAATGCTTTACTGAAATTGTTAGTCAACATCAAATAAATATTTAAGCACTCATTTAAAGAAGAAAATAATGCAATTTAAAAAATTATGTTCAAGGTTAGCAAATCATGATGTGAATGATATGAGTAACGCTTTCCAAATTGCTCATTTTAGACACTTAGCACATAGTTTTGTGTGTTCTGGAGCTTAATAAACTTCGAAATCCACTTAAGTATTTGAGGAGAAATTGGCTGATGTTTTCCTGCAGGGCATAGTGTTGAGATCATAAAGGCAGACTACATTTGGTTAAATGAACTTTGTACAGGTTTTTATAATGCATTAGATTCAACTTGGCCTTGTCAGTGATTGAAAATCTGTTTGTAGGCTGGGTAAAACTGCATGGTTCCATTTGCCCTGTAGGGCATGCCCTATTTTAGCATTTTTGCTACAATACAGTTCTTTGGACTTGTGGCCAGCAGATTTTTTGTTGTTTATTATAAATGACATGGAATCGAACCAGTCTTTTGAAGCTATTATGTAAAGCTTATTTTAAGATTAAAATAATTTTAATCTTGCTATTTATTTTCCCTTGTTAGAAGAAACCTTTTCTACTGCTTCTTTTTTTTTAATGGGCATTCACTTTTTATTTAAATGTGCTAAGATGGTACTAAATACTAATAAAAAGATCAGCTATTCTTTTTATTCCTGTTTTGGCAGTCATTTTGTGATTCTTTTTGTGGAAATTGCAATTGATTGAACAGGACTTTCCCTCATTTAAAATAAATGATAATTATAAAAATGCTATTTGCTTTTTTACCTGTTACTACTGAAAGAGATGCCTGAGATTTATTTATCAATATCCTTTACTTTGAAGTCCTACCCAAGCCTTGCCATTTGAGAAAGAGATTTCCCACCATTAGATCAAAATGAATGTGCTCTCATTTCCCTGGAAGGCGGTTCAGAAGCAGCAGCAGCTCCACAGATTGAGGGTTGACACTGCTTGGCCTATGGCTCTACAATCTTTATTTTAACCCATTCCAGCTTAAGAAGATAAAATCTATACTTGAGTTGCTTGAGACTTCTAAATAGCACCAGCAATGCTAGCCGGCTTGTACTTCAAATGCCACCATTTGGGAGAATGCTCTCAACAAATGCCAAATGTACCCTTTAAGCCACTTTAATCAAATAAAGGAGATTCATCAGAACAAGGCCTCCATAAAATATGCTTAAATTCCTATTCAGCATCTGAGTTAATTATAACATGATGTCATACATCCTTCCCTTCCCCAGCTGTAAAGCTAAAGCAGCAGCTTCAGAGCTGGTCTCAGGACTCAGACACGTGCTGCACAAAGGGACCAGCATGGCCAAGTAGCCCACTGGTCTCTGGCTTCCCGCCCTCAAGGCCTTGCCAACCCTAGCTAACAGTCTTCGGAGTTTCACAATCTGGATCCTTCTAAGATAGGCAATCTGTATTGTTGTTGGAGAGTGACTGTGGTCCTGTTTAGTGCACAGATTGTCAGAATAAGGCTAAACTTTCCAGGCACAGATAAGTCTACCACAGTGGAACCAAAGCAACGCTCAGCCTCTGGTCATTCCCAGTTGGTTGCTTCATCATTGTCAGGGTTCTAGGACTCAGTTTTTCCTGGTCCAGGCAGTAGGTTCCTCAGGAGGCACCTAAGCCCTTGAGATGGCTCATGGCCTCCAGCATGGGCTACGGGACTTGAATATAATCCCAGATGGAGCCTGCTGAACCCTGCTCAGCCCATTGCTGGCAGCGGTGGTAGCCCGCAGCTCCCCCACACTTGGGTATGTTTAAACCTGACAGAAACTGAGAATGTCTGTTTTCTCTGGCTGTGAACCTTTACAGGAAAGTAGTGCTTCCTAGGTACTGAAGAAGGGGTCTGGGATGAGAGAATGCTGAAAGCTGTCTAGGGTCATCCTCACCAGTGGGTCAGAAGTGGATCCTTAGTGGTGCTCTTGAGAGTAAACTGGCAGCCAGTGCACTTTCGGCCCTACTTCCTGGTGGCTGCCCATCCCTGGGAAACCTAGATATCAAATCTGTATGGCTTTAGACCCAGCACATTGCTTTTTTTTCTTTTTTGCTGAGGAAGATTTGCCCTGAGCTAACATCTGTTGCCAATCATCCTTTTTTGCTTGAGGAAGAATTGTCCTGAGCTAACATCTGTGCCAATATTCCTCTATTTTGTATGTGGGTTGCCGTCACAGCATGGCTGCTAATGAGTGGTGTAGGCCTGCACCTGGGAACTAAACCTGGGCCACTGAAGCGGAGCCAGCGGAACTTAACCACTAGGCCATGGGGCCAGCCTCCAGCACATTGTTGAACAAGGTTGGGGAAGTAAGAGATGAGAAGGGTCTTCAGGGTGTAATGGGAATCCTTGAACTATTTTCATTATTTCCAATAGTCGAATGGAAATTATATGTTTACATGATAAAGCCAAAGGACAGCTTGAGTGACTGGTTTTCCACCTCTGGCAGGTATCATAGCTCAGTGTAAGTCCTGACTAGCTCATGCTAACTAGAAGCTCTGATTGGTAGAGTGATATTTAATAACACTGGGAAAATAAGTCAACTTTTGGCTAGATAAGATAAAGGTTGAAATATTTTCTTATTTGTTAATAAAACTGGAGCAATGGGGGTCATTAGTGGTTGGTAAATTGGGAGCTTTGTGTGAGAGAAGGAAGGCTTTGGGGTATTGGGTAGAGACCCTGGGCTGAAGCTACCCTCTGGCTGTCAAGAAAGAAAAGTTAAAGAAAGGTGTGCAAAAGTAGTTAATAGCAGGCTTGATTCTGCTGTCTTTAGAAAGGCCTGCTTGCAAGATTAGCCCTAGCCTGGCATCTGGGAACTTGACTGGTAAACAGTTTCCTACACCGAAATGAAAGTATCCCTAAATTATAAGAGTAGCTTGCTGTGCCTGAACCATGCAAACAGTATGTTTTATGTTGAACACTTGTTTTCCTTTTGGGAGTCTGGAATTTTAGAATGTGCTAGGCATAGGGATGCTTAGGTGACCAGACCCCCATAAAAATCTTGAGTGCTGAGTCTGTAACAAGTTTCCTTGGTAGACAACTCTTTACATGTTCTTACAATTCAGTTGCTGGAGAAGTTAATTGCATCCTGTGTGACTTCGTTGGGAGAGGACTCTTAAAAGCTTGCTTCTAGTTTCCTCCAGACTTTACTGGATATAAGAAATGGGGAGTGGTGGGCTTAAGTTGATCTCTTAAAGGCACTTACATTCAGATTTTACAAAAACAAGAAGAAAAAAACTCTGTTCTATTCAAATAAAACATCTCTGTGGGCCGTGTTCACTGTCAGTTTGAGATTCCTGATCAGTTACAAGGTCTGGCTTCTGATAGCTTTGTAAGAGGCCCTTGTGTTGCACAATTCCAGAGGGTGCTGTTCACAAATTGAGCCTGGGCCCTACATTTATACAATAGGGTTAATATTTACCAAAAGCATGGGGTTCTTTTTTGACATCATAATACTTGTCTAACACTTTTTAGTTGTATGATATTTATATAGAAGGTCAAGTAAATTAGGTGTATGTTAAATTAGAAGTTTTGCATTGAGCTAGGGAAGAATGAACCAAAAAAGCATACTTGTTTTCCATATACTTGTATTATTATGAAGTTGTTGACACTACGTTTTTTTCAGGACCTTTGCTCCTCTGTTATTCCATTAAAATTGCTTTGAAATTTAAGGGCAAAGTCACATGAACCATCAATATGTGACAATTTACAGCTAGCATTGATAGTGTGCTATAATTTGCTTGTTACTCTATATGCTGAGTACTTTACACCTATTATTGTCTTTAGTCCCCCCAAAAGGTACAATACTAGAAGTGTTACCAGTTGAAAAAACTGATCTAGAGAAGTAAAGTGACTCTCCTGACGTCACATGAACAGTAAGTTACAGAACTAGGAGCCTATCCCAAGCACTCTGCTGTCTTCCATACGATGGTAGTGGCAAACTAGCTCTCTATTTCCCTGGTGTAAATATAAATACTTCCACCATGACTGGTTTCAAGCAATGTAACATCAACTGTCTCGCAAATTAATAAAAATTCGTTCAGCTGTCACAAGCCAGTATGACCGGGCTCCAGCATACCACTGTTTCACAGAATGGTTTTAACCTGGCTTTTCTAACCCTAATGACACCCCCTGCACCCAAAGGACACCAGATCAAAAGATCCTCTCACTTTGCTGGCAAGGATTCATGTCTTTGGTAGAAGCTGATTATAGAGACTTGAAAGATATTTTTTTGCTCTTTATCATACCTCTATGAAATATGATTATTAGTTACTGTTTTTTGAAAACTTTTAAGACAAGAGTATTTGCCTTCTCCCTGTTATAGTACCCACCCTCATGTTTCAATTACAGCTTCAATCTCAACTCATAGTACAATGTTTAATTAGTACCTTAGGAAGAGTGGCAAGGTCAAAACTAGGTCCTAGTCTATAATCTGAGTAAATAGATGAAAGAAGCAAATATAAGGGCTCCCCCAAAAG